ATCCTCTCAATCCTCTCAAGTTCATTCATTTCTTTTGCAATTGGGCAGCATTGTGCTTTATTGGTGAATTTGTACTTCGCAATTGGTCCGGGTCATAACAGATATACAGAACAATCCATCAATCAAACCGTCAATCAATCAACCAATTGATCAATCGGTCGATTGATTATTGAGACCGACGGATCGATCAATCAGTCAGTCAATCAATTAATAAATTCATCGACTCCCTCAACTGCTTAGACAACATCATCCATGCATCAAACTTGACCAATTGACTCGAACGCTCGACCAGTCAATTCAACGACACATTTGTCCACAGGACGCCCTTTTAATTACCCCCCAAAAGATGGGTTCCGATTTATGAAGTTGACATTACTTGATAACCATAAATTCATCGACCGATTTGTCCACAGGAAGGCAGTTAATTAACCCCATCAACAACCCAACCACTCCAGCAGTTGATCAATCAATCCATCAATCTGCCAGACGCGACTGCTTTATTTTGTGTTTGTTTGTTTGTTTGTTTGTTTGTTTGTTTGTTTGTTTGTTTGTTTGTTTGTTTTCATGCTTCAGTCACTTACTAACCTCGTCGATCACTCAGCAAGTCGACTAACGCGCCAATCTGTCAGTCCATTCATCCATCAATCCATCAAGAAATCCATTAATAAACCCATTAAATCAATCCATCAAGCAATCCACCAAACAATCCATCAATCCATCAATCCACCAATCCATCAATCCACCAATCCATCAATCCACCAATCAATCCATCCATCCATTGCCCGAAGTGATCGAGTCCGACGTTTGGCAGATGAAGCAAGGATTTGTCAACACCTCCTAGGAATGGTTCGCAGCCCGTTCTATCAATGGCATTTGCACACACCTCCCGTTCTATCAATGCAATTTGCACACACCTCCAGAATGGCAGGTTCCACACACAACACTCAGGGAAATGAATGGGAGGAAGCTGCACAACCTCCCAAAGTCTAATATCAACAGGCGCACAACCCGCCGGACAAGTGAGATGAGACGAGAGTCGCAATCCAAAGCTACTTCCAAGTCTATCAAAATCAATGAATTGGGTGCCTTCCTGTTATCAGAATGCACACAGCTCTACACGCCAACCAACCCCTAACTCAACAGTTCAAACAACAAAAAACCTGTTGAATTGTATGGTACCGCAAAGGGTTATGCATTCTCCCCAAAAGAAAGAAAGAAAGAAAGAAAGAAAGAAAGAAAAACAAAAACTACAAGAGAACGACAAGAACAAAGAAATGGGCATAGTCGTCCTCCATCTTAAAAACGATGTGAACGATTTGTGACATCGCCGTCTTGCAAAACCCCGCCTTTTTTCGAGAGCCATCAGCACACCCTCGTTTCTTTTTTCGCATGCCGTCAGCTCATTACACGTTTCTCCACAACGCCCGGTGCCATCCGTCTCACATCCTTTCATGACCTGAAAGGGCATATATATAGTCAAACAGAGCTGCCCGGTGAACCATAGGCACAGAGGGAGAAGAGGACAACAAACGAGGGAGGGGCTGTGACAGACTGTTTCGTCGGATATATCGTCATATATATCCCACTTCTCCGTCTCTGCCTACGGTTTACCGGGCAGCTCTTTTTAACGATATATATTGTCACAAGAATATCAATATATAACATCTATAGCATCAAACCCAAAGATACAAATATGGATACCCTATCCATATCCTTGCATGAGGAAAAAGGGCATATATAACCCGTTGAACCCGAAGATCATCAACCCGTCTGTCCTTCAAAGCACGCCATCTGATGCACACCACCACCTCAACTACACTCCTGCCACGTCATCATATCTATGTGTGCATATCTGCATGAGAAATGGGAGCCATGAGGAAAAAGGGCATATATAACCCCTTTGCAAGTGACACGCGCCATGAGGTTTTCACCATGTGACACGCGCCATGAGGTTTTCACCAAACCTCTTTGCTACCATCTTCCCCCAAATAGAACGCACGGTCATTATTGCTGCATCTGGACTGAAAGTGGTCATGAAAAGACAGCTTTGATGACTATGCGCTCTGTTCGGGTAGAGATGGGAGCCATCCTCCTCATGACCTACTCCTCACCACCTCCTGTCCTTGATGGCTGTCCTACTCAGGACCCCTCTTCTCATTGTCCTCTTCACAACCTCTTTGCTGACCATCTTCCTATAACGAAGCCAATCGATCATGTAAGAACCCCAGCAATCAAACAGGTAATTTCTCTCTCTCTCTCTCTCTCTCTCTCTCTCTCTCTCTCTCTCTCCCTCAAGATTCTTCTGATCTCACTGCCACCCTCACGACCTATGCGCTGAACGCGACCTGGCACTCTCCATCAGGAAATCCGCGTACACTTGTCCATAGCAGCCAAACCATGGCAGTTCTTTAGTCCGCAGTCCTTCCCCCCTTCTTGTCCCCTTCCTTCCGCCGTTTTTCACGCTCATCCCTTCCAAAAACCACCATCCTTCCGCCCATCCCTTCTTCTTTCACCCGCTTTTTCCACTCCTCCACTCTCACCTCTCCTACCTGCCTTCTGTTATTCCTACTTTCATAAACCTCCTTCCATCAGCCCCTCACTCCCGCCTTTTCCCTACGTCCTCCTCCCTCCCTCTCTTCTCTCACCCTCCTTTTCTTTATGCTCCTATCCTCTTTACCACGTCCTTCCGTCCTCTATTTCCTGTCCTTGCCGCTCCCTCCATTCCCCACCCCTACATCCACTTAGTCTCCGTTCTTTCCCCCCTGTCCTCCTCCCCCCCGACCCCTTTCCCCTTCCCCCTTCCCCCCCCCCCCCCCCCCCCCCCCCCCTTCCCCCCCCCCCTGGGCTCGCCCAGCTGTCTGCCCCGGCCGACGCCCCCCCCTCAACCAGCAAGTCCTTCCCCCTCACCCCCTGCCCTGGTCAGTCCTCCCCCCTCATCCCCTCCCTTGGTCAGGGTTCGTAAGCGCTCATTGGTACCGGCTATTACCGTCTTCTCCCAAACACAACGCACCCTAATAATGAATGTACACAAGCTATCTTTCCAGTCCGGTACAGCCATGATGAGGGTGCGTTGCATTCGCGGGAAGACGGTAACGTCGGGCCGATCAACCCGCAGAGATCCCACCAACATCAGACAGAGAAAGGTTATATCGTTGGACGCGTACGACGGTAGGGGCTCCGCAATGCACCCTCATAATGGCTGTACCGGACTGGAAAGATAGCTTGTGTACATTCATTATTAGGGTGCGTTGTGTCCTGTGAGGACACAGAACATTGGCGGCCATGGCCTGCCCCGTCAAGATGTCGACGTCTTACTGGTTTGATCTCCCATGTCCAGTCCACGAATAGCCTTCAACACGATTCCCATCAACGCAATTAGCGTTCAGAGAGCAAAAGAAGATGTTTGCTTGGTTGATTCACCGACAGTACTCACTCACTCCCCACCCCACAGTTAGCCTCTGCCTTATCCCCCTTCCTCCACCTCCCTTTCTCTGCCACCTCCCTTTCTCTGCACCTCCCTTTCTCTGCCACCTCCCTTTCTCCTCCCCCGCATTCTACTCCTTCCTCTTCCACCTCCCTTTCCCTTCCTCCTCATCCTCCCTTTTTCCTCCTCATCGTCCTCATCATCATCGTCATCATGACACTCATCATCCACTGTCAGCCGCAGCTGCATGACAGCCATCGTCCCCATCGTCATTGAAAAACAGATATCACCATCATCAAATGAGCATCAATCATCACCACTATCAATTTTATCACGATAAATATACCTTTATACTGCCAGAATCGTTCTCCTCTCTCTCTCTCTCTCTCTCTCTCTCTCTCTCTCTCTCTCTCTCTCTCTCTCTCTCTCTCTCTCCCCATCTTCTCTTACCTTCCACTCCGATCATAAAGGATTCTTACAAAACACTATCTTCTTCACACCTACATTGTTCCGCTCTCAAAAGCTCTCGCGGTCGACAAACGAATCAATCAACCCGCCAGCTCATCAATCAAATCGCCGCCCCGCCAGCTCATCAATCAAAACCGCCAGCTCATCAATCAAACCACATACCGTTCTCGCGATGCGGACGTCTACCTCTCTACATGCCTTCTCTTTCTCTCCTGGTTCTCAAATTCCCGCCTTCCAGCGTCGGGATCTCAGACCTCAAACAACCCACGACCTCACGTGGTTCCTTACAGCTTTTTCGCTCGTTCCCGTGAGCAACAGTGATGATTCATGATGGGAAAGTGTCCTTGGGCAATAATCAACAAGCCAGGCACGCGCGATGAACGGCGGCAGTAAACGCCATACACCTATAAAGCCAGGACTCTGCAAGAAAAAACCCTGTCGCACACCCAGGAAGGCTCTCAGCAGGAGGTACATTCAACGTCGCGATTGAGTGATTGACACTTGTCGGTCCAGATTCATCAACGGGACCGCCAAGATCTCTGGACGATGGGCCAAGAAAGCGACTCTAAGCGAGTAATCCGTACGACAGAAGATTGCCTAATTACAACATTATTGTTTCATCTTCATCATCATCATCATCATCATATCGTCGCCCCAGCCACAATGGACGAAAGAGTGATCTCTCTCTCTCTCTCTCTCTCTCTCTCTCTCTCTCTCTCTCTCTCTCTCTCTCTCTCTCTCTCTCTCTCTCTTCTGACAACATTATCGTTTCATCATCAACATCATATCGTCACCCCAGCCAAAATGGAGAGAAGGGTGGCTGATCTCTCTCTCTCTCTC